AAGGTATTAACGAGACGATTATAATGATGTAATTTGTTAAAATAAAAATRTATTTTTTAAAYATGTTATAATTGATATATAATTATGTGTGTTAATTTGATAAGGGTGTAAAATGAAAATTTTAAAAGBAAADGATATAAAGTAAATTAATTATCTAATTACAGGGGTATAAAATGTAAATTTAAAATTAAAATTTTTAAAAATTCGGTGAATGTGAGGATGTGAGTGAGGAAAGATGTGAGGAGGAGGGGGTGGGAAATGATGTAAGGGGTGGGGATATCAACCCCTAAATTAAGGATGCTCCCCCCCCCCCTTCTTCGGGCTTCTCCGCCCCCATCTTCTCCCGTAAAGCCCGCCCAAAAAAATGATACCCGAAATGTGAGATAAAGCACGAATTCTGTACGGTTGTTTCATCTCCGCCATGGCCATGTCTTATCGTCCACACGAGAAGATCCAGCTCAGTTAGCGAGTGCATGGGTTGACTGGGGAAGAAAAGGGTGTGGGGGAAGAGGGCGACTGGGGGGCTTATTTTTGAATAATTTCTCTATATGTTTTACACCTTAAAACGATTTTGGTCCCTCATCCTGACAGACATTTATTTTTTCCGTTACGTCCAATGTAATGAGAGATATTTTAATCATTTTACATGTTTTCTTAAATTTCTTAATTATCTCTAACATATAATACACACACATGGACGAAATCATGGACAACAATCGTATCTTTCATCGAAGAGAGGGAGTTGGGGGTTCATCGGGGAGTTTTCGTTGGAGGCGGCCTACGTTGATGGGTGAGAGGCAGGTTGGTTTTGCCGGGAAAAGTGGGTGCCGGCAAGGGATTACATTCTTGGTCCCTGTGGATTGTAAAAAAAACTTTTAAATAGAAAATTGTGAAAATAGGTAAAATGACTAAAATACCCTCATTTAATTGGATTTAACGGAAAAATTAACCACTGTAGGAGGAGGGACAAAAATCATTATGAAGACAAATCTGTTAGAACGATGTTGAAGAACAAAAATCGTGTAAAAATGATAGACGTTAGGAACCAAAAATGAACTCTACTTTAAAAATAAAGAATTCTATTGCGAGTATATAGCTTAATAATTTAGTTGAATATATTTAACTGGTTATGATGTGGCATTTAAAATGATTTAAAAATACGTAGCCTAATTATTTGTAAATTTAAAATTTACGGAATTATATATCATTAAACAACACATAATATTAAATACTTAATATATAATATATTGTTGGATTTTAATCATCGTTGCCAATATTTTTCAATATCTTAATTAATTGTGGTTGGTATTTTTTTTTTCCTTTTATTAACCTGGATAACCAACCCGTTATGCAAGTCGACTAGTTTCAGGGCAACCATCCGCTTCATGGATAACCCCAAGTCATCGTATTTGAACATTCGTGGCCACAAGAAGATTTTTATTTCTCCTTGTTCGAACCTGAGACCTCGTGACATTCTTAAAAAAAAATTGAAAAACCAACTCATGCACTCTTTATTTTTATTTTTTGTATAACTAACATTATTTAGGTAAGTTTATATGCACCAATTTACATGCACCTGTAATCCTCGGTGGTCTCAAATGCCCTAAAGTCATCACAATTGAACTTCTATGATCATAACTGTTTTGACAGTATCTGTATTCAAACCGAAAAAAGATAGAACTTTTTGAATTTAGGGGGTGTTTGTGATTTGCTTATTTTTATTGTTTTTTGACTTGTTTCAGTCTGACACCGATAATAAGCTAAATGCTAGTGTTTGGATGAGGAAAAATAAAACTACTTATACCGGTGTCAAACCGGTAATAAACAGTTTTTGATAAGTTAATCCTTCATGACTTATGAAAAAAACTGTTTATTACCAGTTTACCATTCTAACATGTTTTATTAATGTTTGTTAATTATTAATCTTATTGATATAAAATATTATTATAAATGATGAAAAATAAATTTTTACATGTTAAAAAATCAAATAAGTTAATAATAAAAAATATTATAATATGAAAGACTGTCATTTTTGGTCATTTTACATATATAAGCAAAATTTGTCAAACACTGAAAAATAACTTATTAGCTTATTGCTTTTTAGTACCGCTATAAGTTAATCCAAACACTTTTTTACAAAACTCCGATTTAATACCATATAAGTTAATAAGCACTTTTACAAAAAAAACATAAGTTAATTTAGATAAGCAAATCCCAAACACCCCTTAATATCGAAATGAAAAACAGAACTTGTTGCCGGGAACATCATCTATTCTTCGATCATATAAGTTCTCTTTGACATAAAGAATTGACTACAGAACTGCATAACGACGTGAAATTCTTACTACGATAAAATCTTAGATTTTGGACCGAACTTTTTCGATAAGTTCACGCCTCAGAAGTTTCCCTGCAGCCGACTTCGGAACACTGTTTACAAACGTCACCCGCCTCAATCTTTTATAAGGCGCAACCTACATCAATTACGTTCCAGTGAGCACTGTGTTTTCTGGAAAATGATCACGAAATAATACGAATAAATCTTTACCTGTTCTGCGATAAATTTCTTAACATCTTCTTCGTTCAACGAACTGTTTGGAGATCGGACCACAAACGCAATCGGGACCTCCCCGGCTTCAGCATCAGGAAACCTACCACATAATACAAATGCTTTTATGATTATATGGTAAATAATGTGAACGAATTAGCGAGTACCGAAAAAAGACCGTATTTTTGGCTTACGGGATGACTGCAGCGTCTAATATTTCAGAATGCGAAAGCAGAAGTGCTTCGAGTTCTGCTGGTGCAACCTGAAAAGTGTCGACAAAGATTACGGACAGTTTAGTTTTGGCCCACATGGAAAGATTCCAAAGACCCCATAAAAATGGGATCTTTACAAGATATGGATGACCTAAGAATGTTGTACCTGAAACCCTTTATACTTGATGAGTTCTTTGATTCGGTCAACCACGAATAATTGACCTTCGTCATCAAAATATCCAAGATCTCCGGTATGCACCCAACCCTGTTTATCTATCGTAAGCTTTGTAGCCTGAGGATTGTTGAGATAACCTGGAAATTCAGAACCAAAGAAGTTCAAATCTGACGGTTATAATATGTGGAACCCTTTTCAAATGAATAATTGAACGAGAAGCATACCTTGCATCATGTTAGCTCCTCGAGCCCATATCTCACCCATTTGGTTAGGAGGAAGAGGTTTACTGGTATCTACACTTATTATTTGAGCCTC